GACCAGTAGCGTACCAAGTAGCATTACCACCCCAAATTGCTGGTATACACAATGTATTCCATGTGTCACAACTGAAAAAGTATCAACCAGATCCTTCCCATATAATTGAACCCGAGGAAATTGAACTCAGGGAGAATTTGACATTCAGAGCTGAACCAGAAAGGATTGTGGATTATAAGGACAAGCAATTAAGAAACAAGACCATTAGATTGGTTAAAGTAATCTGGAAGAGCACAACTCCAGGTGATGCTACGTGGGAGACCGAGGACAGTATGCGACGTGATTATCCTCGTCTTTTTGATTAAGTAAGTAGTTAATAGTTACTAACTTTAAATTTTGAGGACAAAATTTCTAAAAGGAGGGGAGAATTGTAACATCCCAATTTAAATTTTAATAGTTAATTTGGGTTAATAGAAATAAAAAAAATAATATTTAGAGGTAAGAAAATTAGTAAGAGATGATTATTAAATCTAACTTAGGATATAATTCTAAAAAAAATTAATTAAATAAAAAATTTTTAAAAAAAAAAATAAAAAATAAAAAAATAAATTTATATTATTATTATTATAAATAAAAAAAAGGAAAAGGTTTGCAAAAAAAAAGGGAAGAAAACGTGCCGCCGCCTCAATAGTAACGATAGTAAAAAAAATAATAAAAAAAAAGAAGAAGAAGAAAGAAGAGAGAGAAAAGAATAAAAAAAATGTGGGACCCACTGAATTTTTATAAAACTCACCCGTTTCCTTCATTTCTTCAATTCTTTTCCTGCGCGCGAGCTGAGGCGGAGAGAAGCGAGTCGCCGGTGCAAATATCTAAATTTTTAAGGTAAGAGTTTTTAATAGGATATTTAGGGTGTGATTTTAAGCTTTTCAAGACTAAGTAAGTGTTCTAAAATTTTTTCTTAGTCATCCTTCTTCTTTGGTTTCTGAGTTTGTAGTGGTAGAAAATTTAAGATCTGGAAGAGGGATGAATTTATGTTGAATAAATATGGTTTTTGAGGTTGTTAGTAGTATAATAAATATTCTAGAGTATAAATTTATTGGTGATCTTTGAATTTGTGGCTTATGGATCAAATTCTAAACTAGATCTGAAAATATATGTTGATTTATTGAGGTTTAGATGATTATTTGGGATGAGAAATGAATTATTATGGTTATAGGATTATGATTCTAAGCTAGAGACTCAATTTTTAATTTTTGGGTATTTTAGGTACGAATTTATGAAATAAAAAAAAATTTTGATAATAGAAATTAGTTTAAAGTTGATTTTTAGATTATTAATGTTTATTGATAATTAAAAGAGGAGTTAAAAATTTTACTTAATAGTATTAACTATAGATTTGTATTAAGATTGAGATTAGAAATTATGTTATATTTTTAATTCTATTATTAGAATTATTTTATTAGTTTCAAAAATTGAAACTAATATTTATAAATAATATGTTATTTGTAGATTGTATTACTGGTGAAGATTGTGGTGAGAGAGAAATTTTAAGGAATAATTTATTGAAAAAGCCACAAGGTAACCATGCTTTTAATTTGTGATTAGTGTTACTTCATGTTAATTGGGTGATTATTGAGAAAATTATGAATTTTGTAATATTGTATAATTGTGCAATATTATTATGAATTTGTTTAATTATTGTGGGAGGTGTTGGGAGACTTGCTATTATTGTTGTATTTATGTGCCACGTGGTACGCCCCTATTGGAGCTCAATAGGTGGCTTGTAAGGGCTCGGGCTAATCTACCTTTGGCCGGGTAATTTAGCACCGAGTGAGGGCTACGGCTCGAGGTTAATGGAGGGATATAAGGATGGTTGTTTGTGTTTATTATAATATTTCTTATATTTGTTGGAATTATATTATTTTTAATTCTCACTTAGTAAGCACACACTTAACTGTTTGTATACACTATCATAAATTGGCTTTGGTTACTGGGACTTTTGAGTCTCATTATGTGGTTAACAATTTTCAGGAGAAGAGCCACGAGTGACACGTGGAGGAGTCCCAGAGGCTTAGTGGTATAGATCCACTGTCTCTTTGGGTATTTAATTTATGATTTATAATGTGTTATATTGCCAATATTAGGGCTTTTTATTTATTGTCAATTATATGAATATATAAATGTAATCATGCTTTCAAACTATTTTTTTTTGGTACAATTTGGATGACTGTAATTTTAATATTTGGTTTACTTTGGATTGGTTAAAATGGCATGATTATAAGGCCAAATAACTGGCTTGTGTTGAAAATTGACTAAATTGCTTATTTTACTTGTTGGGAGTATAAGGATGGACAAATGTGATTTAGTTTACTTGTTGGGAGTATAAGGATGGACAAATGTGATTTAGCCTAATGGCATGTGGGAGGTAAAAATTTATCTGAAATATTATAGTGTGTGAGTTGAAGCCAATTATAAAATATTTTATATCGAAATTATTGATATAAAAATGTGTTGGGTGGCTGTAACCCAACTATGATTGAGTTAAATTATTTAAAAAAAAATTTGGTGTGTTACATGTTTTATTACAAGACACCTTTAGTCATTTCGCCAAGAATCAATAAAATATGTTTAATCATTAACTTTATTTAAAAATAAAATAAATTTATGATTTTACTCATATTTAAACAAAACATTTACTTATTTATAATACATTCTCTCTTATAGTGAATGACTTTAAATAAAAATAATATTAAAAAATTTAATTAATATTTTACCAAATGACTTATAATAAAAATTATCTATTTTGTTTCGAGTGTTTATGATAACAATTTTATTACCCCTTAATCTGTCAAAAATTCGGGCGATCACTCGTCAAAAGCAGAGTTGGGGTTACCTCATTTTCAAAAGCACACGCATTTTCAAAAAGTCCTTCCTTGATATTGACAAATAAAAACTCAGTTGCCTTTTACTCAAAAAAAAAAAAAAAACTCAGTTGCCTTGTCATAATCACTGTTATGCCTAACGCTGCTGAGATAAGGCCTAACATGTTAGTTATATACTACATCATATTATTTATGTTATACAAATAGTGCGATTTATTAAATTTTTACATTATACTATATACAGTTATACACAAAGATTATGAAACTCCTGTGTTATAAGAGTGCAGCCTGAATTGAAGACGAGGCATTATATATATATATAATATGTTTAACATGGACAAATTTGTTGTTTGTCTGAGGATAATAATTTAAAAGTTTTTTTTAATATTATACTCTTGTTTTTAAAGTTTAACCCCGTTAAAATGTGAAAAAAGAGTATTTAAAAAGCGAACAAAACGCAACAAAATGTATGGGGATACACAAGAGTTACGCAAATATATATATTTTTAAAAGAAATATACAATGCATAGTTTATTTATAATAATTCATAAATAGTTAAATACTGTTCTCTCTTCTTGCATTCCGAATCATAACTTCTTGCACCCGCACTTTTAAGTGGGCCATCATTTCCAACGACTAATTTTTTTAAAATAAAAGAGAAAAATTACAATTAAGGACAATTGGAGATAATTAATTATGTTCCATGATTAAATAATTATGACGTTATATTGCAGGGCCAAATGACCAAAATTGAATTTGTTATGAAAAGATAAACTTCCTCTCATATATGTATATATATATATATTCTTTTAACAATAAACTCTCTATTTTTATTTAATTTTTTTTATTTTAACAACAATCAATTCCTTAATTAATAATTTTAAAAATTGACATGATGGTAAAAAGGAATAAGTATTATTATTTAGTGAATAAATCCCTATTCCAATAAAAAAAGGTCTAATTTTTTTAACAACAATTAATTCTTCTACTTATAACTTCAAAAAATTAATTTGATAATGGAGAAAAACAAGTATTATAATTTGATGAATAAATCGCATTTTTATTTAACAATAATTAATTCCTTTATTACTAACCACAAAATATTACTTAGTAGAGATAAATTGTTATTATCTAGTAACCAAGTCTACATTTGAGAAAAAAATAAATTTTATTTTTATTTTAATAATAATAAATTTTTTAATCACAACAACTATATATCAAGAGTAGTTTTATTTTTTCACTATAAATTTTAATTATATTTAGGCCATTTGATCATGTAGAATAATCTCAAAATCATTTGATCTTGGGGAGCAATTAATTATCTTCACTGGTCCTTGATTATGATTTTTCCAAAACAAAGCATGGAATAGAAAAATCAAAACAACCAAATGGAAGAATTTTTATATCCGCACTGTTCGAATTAAATCAACCAACACGCCCAATAAATAATGCAAGAACGTAGTGACATTGGCAAGAAGTCAAAAGTTGTAGGCTTGGAGCTTCTAAAGCATGATGAAATCCCCTGAAGATAACATATAAAGCCCCACTAGCCCGGATTGTGTTTAACTCAAATTCTTATTAGGAAAAAATATGTCGAATGAAATTGTTTTTAATAAAAATTAAATAAATACATGCAACCACACGCCAAACAAAAAAAGAAAGAAAAACCCGTCTGAATCGGCTTTAAATAATTGAAAAAACTTTAGAAAAAAACCAAACTCATTTTTTGGTCTTAAAAAAAAGCTTCAAAGCCTAAACTGCAAATACAGTTATACACACAGTTAACATGCTTTGCTTTTTAGTTTAATTTGATTTAGATTTTGATGTTGATTAATCATTAATGATGCTTGGGTTATGACATATCAATTATCAACCAATTTGATAAAAGTTCAGTTTCAAAAAATTATATTATAAAAAATTATAAATATAGATTTCAACAGTTATAAATATAGTTGGAAATTAAATATTATATTATATATTAATCCCTCCACTATTGTTATCAACAGATAACTCGAATTCACAATAAGTCACTTTCCCTTCATTTTCATGGACGGGCTTTGAATGAGTTCAATGTCACCGAAATCAAGCAAAAGCACAGAGAATCTCCCACTCTCTCACAGTCACAACTCACAACAGTGTCACCGATTCAAGAATTCAATTGGGGCGCCAATACAACCCTAACAAACAGACAAAGAGAAAGAGACAGACACAGGTTCAGCTACTCCTCACAGATCTGCTGTCACAAGTTCCTATACCTCATTTGCTATTCCAACACCTTCCATTCTGTCATCATTTCTATCCCTTTTTGCTTTTTGGTCTGATCGTTAATCCTCTGTGTGAAAATTTATATTTTGTTCTGTAAATACATGGAATTCAGTCTTGCTTCTTTTTGATTCTGAGGCGTTGGTTCGAGTTTGAAGCTTCCAAGTTGCTAAACATGTCTGAATGTTGGGTTTCTGATCCTAGCAAGCTTCACCTGAAGAAGAAGGACCTCACTCAAATTCGTAAAGCTGCTCGTGTGTTGAGGGATCCTGGTACGACGTCGTCCTGGAAGTCACCTCTAAGTTCCTCAAGATCCGTTACTGCTGCTTCTGCTTCTGCATGGAAGAGCAATTTCTACAGTGGAAAAGAGAATGTGTTCTTGTACAACGGGAAGAATCACAAATCATCAGGCGACAACAAGAGTGGACTGGCAAAAAACGACAACGTAGAGGAAGAAGATGATGGTGATGATGAGGATGCTGCTGGTGGCACCGGCAACGATACGTCTTCTTCATCTCTTCTGGGAAGTTTCGAGGATACCTTGAGCGATGCTCGAGGTTGCGATTCGAAGAGCGACTCTCACTTGCGAGTTGGGAGACGTTCTTCTATTTTCGGTGTACAGATGCTAATCGTGTTTCTTCGGCCAGAAGAAAAATGGGCAGTATCAGGAGAAAGAGTAAGAAAACCAACAGATACTTGAATAATTTGTCAAGATGTCGGCAACCAGAAACCAATCTGGGTAGGAAGTTTGTAAATTCCAAGATATTCCCGGAGGACTCAGTTGAACAGTCTGATGACACTGAAGATTACAGCAATTCTGAGGATTTAAGTCGAATTTTAGGGTCATCTCGTTTGCTGTTGAAACTCAAGCGTAGCAATTGGTCTCGTTCTTCCTCAAAGTTACTGAGAAGTAGCCGAACTGAGGACTCTTATTATACTTATAGCACTCCTGCGTTATCAACCTGCTCCCATAATAGGTATGGTCACCATAATTCAAGTACTGTTGGATCCTGGGAAGCCACAGCAAGCTCATTGAATGATGGTGATGATGAGGTAGACGATCATTTGAATTTTCCTGGCCAGAGGGGATGCGGTATTCCTTGCTGTTGGTCCAAGAGGACTCCAAAACATAGGGGGATGTGTAGGAGTTGTTATTCTCCTTCTCTTTCTGAGACTTTGAGGAGGAAAGGAAGTAGCTTATTCTGTGGAAGTAAAAGTATCTATACAAGACACCGAAGGTCCTTATCAAGCTCTAACAAGTGGAGGGTTTCTTCAAGGATTGCTCAGGGTGTTCTCCCATTGCTCCCCAGCAGTGGTGATGTTAGAGGAGGGTCATCTGTAGGAAGTGGGAGGAGTGATGATGAACTTTCCACAAACTTAGGGGAACTTTATCTTGAGGGTTTAAGTAGGTTAGATGGAAGGAGATGGTCATCAAGTTGTAGGAGTCAGGATGGTTTGGGGATTGTGGCTGTAGATGGGGAAGGGGATGAGGAAGGCACACTAGAAAATGCTAGGAGTTTCAGTCAGAAGTATAAGCCTATTTCCTTTGGTGACTTGATTGGCCAGAATATTGTGGTTCAGTCACTTATGAATGCTATTTCAAGGAATAGAATTGCTCCTGTTTATCTTTTCCAAGGTCCTCGTGGTATCGGTAAAACTTCTACGGCCAGAATTTTTGCTGCTGCCCTGAATTGTATGGCTCCAGATGTAAATAAGCCTTGTGGATACTGCAGGAATTGCACTGATCTCAATTCTGGCAAGAGTAGGGATTTCTTGGAAGTTGATGGCACCAATAAGAAAGGGATTGATAGTGTTAGATATCTATTGAAAAGACCATCAGCAGGATCACCGTCAACACCCTCACGATACAACGTATTTGTGATAGATGAGTGTCACTTGCTTCCTTCTAAGACATGGCTGGCATTTCTGAAGTTTCTGGAAGAACCACCTAATCGAGTTGTATTCATACTTATAACAACTGATCTTGACAATGTACCACTAACAATACAATCTCGAAGCCAGAAGTACCTTTTTAACAAAATTAAAGATGCTGATATTGTGGCCAGATTGACGACACTATCTGCTGAGGAGAACCTGGATGTTGAAAAGATGCACTGGACCTTATTGCTATGAATGCAGATGGTTCACTTCAAGATGCAGAAACTATGTTAGAACAACTGAGTTTGTTGGGGAAGAGAATAACTACATCACTTGTCAATGAACTTGTGAGTTTTATGTGACCATCACTTTATGACGTAATCTGAAATACTGAAGCATTCTTCTTCAGTTTAATGAAATTTTGTTTGTCACATGTGCATCATTCAAAATTAATGCTGATTTGTTTTCTGCAAACAGGTGGGTGTTATCTCGGATGAAAAATTACTAGAGCTGTTGGAGTTAGCAATGTCATCAGATACCACAGAAACAGTGAAGAGAGCCAGAGAAGTGATAGATTCCGTGGCTGATCCAATGGCTTTGATATCACAAATGGCATGCCTCATTATGGACATCATTGCAGGATCATATGCTGTCATTGATACCAAACCTAGTGATTCGTGTTTTGGTGCACGAAGTTGTGAGTGCAATCTCTTTTAAAACTTTTAAATGAGTTTTATCCTCTTCCCTTATCTTAATTTTGGCATTTATAATGTTGCCTTATGGAACTTTTAGGTCACAACTCACGAGCTTCTTTAATGTAGGTTTTGCCCTGGTAAATATACCATCAGTAGTTTAGATGATATGATGCTTCTGCCTTCTTTTTTTGGTTACTTTTAGTTTCTATTTTACTGATTCATCCTCTAGATTGAGTAATCCATGCCCACATTCTCAATTGCATATTTTAATGTTCATTTACTTTCTATTGATGAAACTTCACAATTGTCAGCTATAATTTTTTTCCATTTTTACATAATTGGAAATGTAGGGAAAAAAGGTTATGTGATTGAGTGAATATTATTACGAAGCTATCCAAGTCTATTTCCTGGTTCTTGCTTTTCTCTTTTGAGCTTAGGCTTGCATTTTGGGAGAAGGGATCCTGGTTCTTGATATTTTTAGCCCCTCGTTCTATTATTAGATTCAGGGGTGCTCTGCATCCCCCTTGATTGTCTTTATGTGTTATATTCATGGGGGCAGTAACATACTTGTCTAATTATTGAGATGCACGCTTGGGTTTCATGCTTAGTGAATGAATCAGAGTTGTGGAGGTTAAAGCATGCTTTGAAGCTGCTCTCAGAGGCTGAGAAACAGTTCAGGACTTCTAGTGAACGCTCAACATGGTTCACAGCCACTCTGTTACAGCTTGGTTCAATGCCTTCACCAGATCTTATCCAGTCAGGCAGCAGCAGGAGACAGAGCTGCAAGACTTCTGAATATGATCCATCAAGTGCTTCAAGAGAGGTTACTGTTCCGAAGCATAGTTCAGATGTCAGATATATTTCTCGAATGTCAACATCCCCTACATCACAGCAGCGACCTGTGAATGGCAATTCCAGACATCAAAGGGATGTGTCGTCTAAATCAGATGGTTTCAGCTTGAGTTCAAAGCCATCAAGTAGTCCTGTTCTAGGAGATGATGATGCAACACCTGCTTCATCTGATGATCTTTATTGGGAATATGATGTTAAGATGTGTAAATTCAGGGAAATTACATGATATCTGGGCTAGTTGTATATGTAGGATCACTCTTGAGGCATCGCTGCTTCAGCTGCATCAAATCATGGAAAACTGTATCTATTTGTGAAGTTGAAGGTGAGCTGATAAGGTTTTTCAGCACAACTAGATATTTTGGTTTTTCACCCTTGTGCAGCTTGATACCAGATGATTATTGTAACCATGGTATTAATTCAAACTCTACAACAGCCAATAGCTTGACATTCGGTTACACATTAGTATGGATGGCTTAATGGTATTAAATCATATTTGTAACTCGAGACCAATGCGTTTAATCTCATCTGCAAATTCCATTCTTTCTTGTGTTTGTGCAGATCTCCGTTCTTTCTGTTTTTCAATTTGCTAGTACTTTTATCACCTTATTCCAATTTCATCACATATTTATAGAAACTCGTTTTTATATAATTCTTCTGCAGGTTTTCTGGTTGCATATGTTGCATTTGGAGACAGAGATATTAAACTAAGGGCTGAAAGGTTTTGAGTAGTATTCCAAATTCAATGGAAATGGTACTCAGGTGCAACGTGGAGGTTAGAATTATTCACTTGCTTGATGATGAAGGTGAAAATTAACTGATATCAGACAGGCAGGATCAACAATGGGAAGTGAGAAGTTAAGAAAAGGAAGCCATACAAATGAAAAGGGTAGTCATTCTCGCTTTCCTCCTTTGCTGGATGAAACTTGCAAGCTGTCGTGGTTCATCAGATTCTATGGCTGAGAGAACGGTGTGTGAGAGGATGAACAGGTAATTCCTGCACAAAGAGTTGAATCTATATATACGTGAGCAGAGGCTGGAAACTGCTTGGCTACAGGCTGTAGAAAAGGTTCACCAGGATCATTGAGTCATGCAAGACCTGAGAAGAATCAGGTCCTGCCTCAGGAAAATGTTATCTGTAAAGACCTAATAGAGTCCATTGATTCAAAAGGTTTCCTCTCAGCATCGGGAAGATGACCTTCATCATGAAGTCAAAGTTTTGAAAGTTAAACATGGAAGGATCCTACAAAATGGAGCCCGATGCCCCATGTCCCCAAGTTTATTGCACGGTAGAGCAGTTTAGCAAAGAATTCCAGCAAAGACAATCTGTAAGTCCTTAATTTCCACAACTTTTGAATGTCCTTATCTTTACATATGATTAGGAATTCATGTTGTGAAAGATGGAATTTAATGTATAGTCCATGGAAAATTATTGATTTTTTGGCAAGGAAAAAGATTTTATGGCGGTGGTGGGGGACAGTTCAAATAGAATATTGCTGTTACATGAATACTGCCCTCAACAAATTGCATGAAAATGTTAAACCCTGGGGTTGCTTTACTGTCAATATTTGTTTTTGCAGAGTGGCATAATGTTGTATTTATTTTTAATGCATTCTACTGTGTGATATCTGCTTGGCACAAGTAAATATGGATGAAAAGTTGACTTAATTGTTTCTTGAACAGTGTTGGCAACCAAAATATCAGAACCATATTTTTATTATTTTGTCAAACTGTCTTATTTACTGAAGGAAATAATTGCTCTCGTTGTTGAACCCATTATCGGGATAATGAATTATACATTTTGAAGCGAGGCCCCTTGGAAAATAGTTGACTCCAAACTTATGTGTGTTGTGAAATTATCGGAAGGCTATATTCCAATGAATGCACGCTTGGGCTTTCATTTTATATGTTTGAAATAATAATCTTTGTAAGCCGCTACTTGGGGGCCGACAAGTGAA